AAATGAAGTCTCTATATCGGAGAAAGCTATATGAAATCACTTTATAGAAATAAAACATTGCTCTCAATATCTCAGTTTTTTAAAAATCTTATCCAGTATAATCTTACTGGATGGTTCCATCTATTTCTCTTTCACCTCTTTCCAAAGTTCTAGAAAAATATATATAATTCCTGAATCTTTCTCTTTGGATGTTGCTGAATTACCTAAATTCAACTAACAAAACTCGAGTGTGTTTCCTTACCTCTCCTAATCTGGTCATCCTTCCATATGTAGGTTTTAGTTAGTGATGTCACTGTTGATGAAGTAAGCTATCAAAGCCCAAAACCTTAGTATACTAAGTCTTAATTTTTCATATTTCTTCTCCATTGGCCCTCACACTTCATCCTTAGAATTTTTTCTTGTATGGATACATTTCTTGTTATGATCACCAAGATTGCCTAAATCCAGGTTCTTACTTGGACTTTTTTTGTTTGTTTGTTTTTTCTAAATAGGCCTCTACCCTCCAGCCCCTCATTTCTCCAATCCATCACCACCTTATCAAAAACAGTTAATTTCCAAATACATAGATCTATTTATGACCCTTCTCAAAATTATAAAAAAAAATCGATTGTCTCTAGTGTCAAGGTAAATGTTAGAAAAGATCCTTTTTGAACATCCCCATTTCCTTTACAGCTTCTGCTGGGTCACTGAGCCTCACCATACTCTTGACAATACAAGCAAAAGTGTCTTCAGTCACATCACGCTGATTGTCACTTGCATAACACTACACATCATTTTTATTTCTTTTTATCTTGTTCGGCCCTTCTGCTTTGAATTCTTCTCCTTCTCTTTTCTCATAACTACACATTTGTTTTTCTCCTTATTCACCAGGCCTAATTTAGAATCAAGCCACTTATAGAGCTTTTTCTAGCATACTCTACACCATTAATTAAGCTTTTTCTAGCATACTCTACACCATTAATTATTCCCTTCCCAGTTAAACTATGTGCATTTGTACATACTGCTATTTTATAGTTTATTACATTGTTCTGGAATTAATTTTGTTATGCTTAGGAATATTTTATGTTTCTTAATTTTGTATGTATTTAAACATTGTAGACAAAGGCACTACGTACTCATCTTTGCATCCTTCAGATATTTTACTATGCTTGGCCCACAAAGGGTACTCAATCCATAGTAAAAGATTGGAACTAACTATACTTTGCTTTCCTTACAGGTAAGACATGTATGTACAGGGCAAGTGCTTCCAGTATAGATGTAAGAATGACTGGAAAATAATTTAAATTAAATGGCTTTCAAATTCTTTTACATTATAAATTCATGTTCTTTATCCTAAACCCTAACACTCCAGACCCAGAATATATTCTGCCCATTCGTTTCAGGAATGTATCTCATTCGCATTTACTTCTTTTAAATAAAATGTATTTACTAAAGGCATTGATTCATGAATCTGATCTTGAAATGCAAACTTTATTTAGTGAACTTTGAATAGTTTGCAGTTTTGAATACCAAATTTCCGAACTTCTTAATGAGTCTCTCCACTTTAAAATTATGCTTAGTACTTTACAAGAGATCTCATATAAAAATAAATTAGATCTTCACAATTTAAAGATGAAGTGGGGGGGAGACAAGAACCCGGGGTCACTGAGGAAATAAAGTAAGGGTACGTGGACACACATAAATGAAATGTATGTTTTAAAGTTTCTAGGATCTACCTATGAACAGATTCAGTGAAGACTGTGAAAAGAGACATGCTCTTTTTGCAGATTTATTTTTTCTAATGGGAAATTGTGGGCAAAATAATGACAAATAGCTCTGCATTTGCAATGCTATGCTTCCTTAAATATAATGACTCAGCTTTTAAATCGTAAATTGTAGATTCTAAATTGCTCCTGCCTCATCTATCTGTAAAATATGTAAAGTTCATGAATTTGAATCATCATACCAAATAGGAATACAAACTGTATCTGTACTCCTAGAGAAGAATATATTTTACTGGGATAATTAACAGTAATATATTTTAACATTTATATAAAATCTGGCATTCTATCAAAATTTTTTTTGTAAGCTTATGTTTAGAAAACACAAGAGAGTGGCAGATATTAAGAAAATAATATTTATATTTTCCTAAAACTACTGGGTTTTAAAATTAAAAAAAATAGATTGGTGCATTATTATTATACATAAAGTGAGATTCCTTATGCCATATTCATTCATGCATATAATATTAAACATTATTAAGAATGGTGTGTGAAAATGAAAAAAATCAAAACAAGACAGACATTTGTCTCCAAATAAATATATATTTTTAACATATTTAAAGTAGTATAATGTAAAATGAGAAGTTAAAACTGGATGCCTTACAGTTCAAAATGTAGACACAATGAAGTTTAATATATGTGTGTATACATATATGTATTACATATATATTTATATTTATTTATCTGCATTTGCAATGTTATTCCTCCTTTTATATACTGAGTCAACTTCTTTTTTCAAACTCCCCTCCCCCCATTTTTATGATAGTAGGGATTTAATGTGGGGGTGTTTTACACTGAGCTACATCTCTAGCCCTTTTTAAATGCTTTTTTATTTTGAGACAGGGTCTTGCTAAGTTGCTTAGGGCCTTACTAAGGCTGGCTTTCAATCTGCAGTCCTCCTATCTCAGTCTCCTGAGTCACTGGGATTACAGGCATGTATCACTATACCCGGTTTAATATTGTTTGTTCTCAAGTCTATTTTATCTGTTGTTGAATTAGTCACTCCAAATATCTATAGAGACAGAATGTAGATTAGTGATTGACTACCAATGGATATGGGGTTTCTTCCTCACACACACTTGGTACAGGAGATTGAATCCAGTGGGGCTATAACACTGAACCACATGCTGAGAATTTTTATTTTTTATTTTGAGACAGGGTCTCACTAAATTGCTTAGGGCCTCACTAAGTTGCTGAGGATGACTTTGAACTTGCCATCCTCCTGCCTCAGGCTCCTGAGTCACTGGCGTGTGCACCACTGTGCCAGCTAATGAACCAATTTTCAAATCATAAATTGTAAATTTTAAATAGCTCATGTCTAATATTTTATCTGTAAAATATATTGTATATATATACATATATATCCCATTATATACGTAAATTTTACATATATATATATGGTTCATGACTTATGATGATTTGACTTACAATTTTTTTAACTTTCAGATAATAGGAAAGTGATACAAATAATCAAAATTTGTTCTGATCTTTTCTTGGATCACAATGTGTGGTTACATCTTGGAAACTAGGCTACCAATCAGCCACATGATCATGAGGGTGAAAGATAACTGATACTTTACAATGTATTATGTTAGCATCATTTTCTGAATACAGGTATATTCAATAAGTTACAGGATATATTCAACACATTGTTACAAAATAGGCTTTGTGTTAGATGACTTCGCTCAACTGCAGACTATTATAAGTATTCTGAGCATGTTTAAGGTAAACTAGGTTAAGCTATGATATTCAGTAGGATAGATGTATTAAATTCATTTTAACTTAGGATATTTTCAATTTACAATGGGTTGATCAGAATAGAATCCCATAATTCAAGAAGCACCTGAAATGCATACCCACAGGGATTGTATTTATATTTGGATGCATTTATATAGGTCTTTATATATGTATTATATTTGTATCTATACACATATATTTCTGTTTACATGACTTATGACTACTTGAAATATGTCATTCTCCTTTGAAAAATCAAAGGGCACCAGTATTACACCGATTATATATCTAAATTTGTTTTTGTAAAATTTGCATATGAGGGAAATTAATCTTTATAAGATAGAAAGCAATCCCACAATATAATTTCCACTTTGACTTGTGCTCTTCAGGTTCTCCATAGATACAAGATTGTTCACCTTAGCAGAGAAAGCACAGACCTTTGAAGATAAACTCCAGATCTGCCATTACTAGCATTGTCTTGGGGAAGCTCTTTAACCTTTCTGAATTTCATTTTTTCATATATTAAAGAAAACAAAACAAGCAAATAAAATATCTGTCTGGCATACTATTGTGAATATTGAGATAAAATACAGGCAAGAGACAGTAAGGATTAATTTTCTTCCTTCTACCCTTGATGATGGTCTTTTGCTTATGTTTTTGCAGTTATATTCTATTCAAGAACATTAATTCCTTGAGAAAAAGTTCAATGCCAGGATGTAGAGACCTTAAATGTCACAAATTTGTAAGTACATTGCTGTAATTTTTAAAAATTTGTTCTCAGGAATGTAAGTTCTTAGAATGTTCATACCGTTTCATTTTAACTTATATTTATAATCTTCCTCCATGTCCTTTCCAAAGTCACTGATAACTGAATCTAATATAGATATCAAATATTATTTTATTACCATACCTGCTCTAGAGAAATGATTCACTGTTATTAAGAGATGAAGAGAAAAGTTAGATTTTATTTCTACCACAGTAATTTAAAAGCAGGTTCAAACCCAAAGCTATCAAAGAATTTACACAAGCTCCTCTAAATCTGTTTTATCATACTCCACTTCTAAAAGTAAATCCAGAAATTTTCTAAAAATCTCAGGCCTTTAATTTCCATATGATAGAAATGAATATGTGAAAAATGGATATCAATTAATAGCAATAAAGTAATCATGGTATTGATTTGCAGCCCCACATTGATTTTTATAAAGATTATAGTATTTAATCAGAATTGCATCTGTACCCTCTCTGAAGTCTGAAAACTGTGCTCTAACTTACCATGCATTTCTCATTCTAGTGGTTTATAAAATCTGATTTATTCTTTAATTTCTGAAGTAAATAAAAATAAGTTGTATCTACCTGTTAGTTTAGTTACATGTACTTTTATACAAACTCTGACAGTTTGTTCTAATGTGAGTTTATCTAACAGGTTTGGTGGTGTTAGCAGGGGTGTAGGTGCTCTGTTTCAAGCACCTTCCACCTGTGAAGGAGCACGTGCCCCTCAGTACTCACAGCTGACATGATGAGCTCTCCCCCCAGGTTCTGGATCTCAGCTTTAACTTGGCTGCAGATTTTCAGTTGATGGGAGTAGAATTTTATTTGTTCAAGATAGGCCAGCAGGTCCTGTTTGCATGATGGATCTGGACACTAAATATGCATCAGAGATAAAACAGAGATAGCAAAACATAGATGAAAGTGAGTGAATATAGTCATTAAAAAATACCTTACAAGGAAGAAGCTTTCTTTTCAGTGAACGCCATCCAYTTCTCAGGTTACTCCCATGTAGATTCTGATGTGCTTCTGTTTACTCATGTTTTGACCTTCATTACTACTTGAGCAAAATAAATTTTAAAGAAATTCTAAGATATAAAAAGAAAATTCCTTTAATATATGACAAGATTAGAACCCTTCAGATTATATCTTTAGGTAAATGGGAAAGAAATATTTAAAATGCAGTCATTCTCTTCATCTAGGATTACCATTAGACTACTCTTTGGGGTCTAGAGTTCCACATTGTCTGTGTTGTGTTATTTATGTGGAAATAAATAAATACTACAATGAAATAAATTATGCTCTATTACTTTCAGCATCAAGCATTCTTAGCTATTAATAGACAAAGGAAATAATTTCTACCTTGAAAACAGCTGTGACCTAACTAAAGCCAAGAAACAGCAATATTTTTTTCAAAATATATTAAATTTCTTTACAACAAACAGCTTCCCACACTGTGTTATCTTCTTAAGAAACTCTTGGAAAACAGTTTGAGCTTTATCAGAATATGGTAAATATCTTGGGTTAAGGTTTAGTCTTTGTGCTCTTCTTCCTATGCAGTGATTATACATTTTTAAAAATCTTTCCTAAATTAATTCCACTTTTAATAAATTTTCATAAGAACATAGAAATGTAGACCATGATTTATATGCAAAGATATTCACTGTCACAGTACTTAATAGCAAAATTTAGAAATAACCTAATGTCCTAAATAATGGAAATACTAAATTCATATGCATTTCTGAATAATGTGAGGTTATGTAGTCTCAAGAAATATTTTCAATGGGTGTGGGGTCATGTTTTTGGAAGGTAGAAAAATCAATATTTAAAATTTTACATAACATTTAAATCAAATTGTATGAAAAGAATGTGGTTTCAAAACATACTAAAAAACATGAAAATAATAATAAACAAGATATGCAATTTTTATGTGTTTTGTATATCTTGAAATGAATATATATTATTTCTATAATTATAAGATGTTATAAAAATTTTCTTTCTAATGACCTAAATTGCTAATAAAAAGGTAGGATGAAAGACCAGAAAATACTTCATGCATTTCTGCATTTATCCAGGACAGTCAGACTTCAGTATTCAATGGGGACAGCTTCCTGGTTGTTGAATTCCCTCATATAAAATGGAAAGAATTTGAATATAACCTATACACATCATCACAGTGTACTTTAAATTATCTCTAGATTACTTATAACACATAAAATACTGTAAATGTTTATAAATACTTGATAGAAAAGGATAGCAAGAAAGAGAAGAGGGAAGAAGGGCAAAGAGGAGGAATGATAATGGCTAGTTTTCATACAGGTTTTCCTGTGTGAGAAGCTAGGTTAACTAATGTACGCTTATCATCTCATTCAGTTGTCAAGCACCTAACCATCAGGTATTTTTCCCAATTTACAGATAAGAAATTACCTACAATGAAGAAAAGCAAGTCATCTCATTGTTTTACCTTGACATGAAGCTAATCTTTATAAGGTACTTCCTTGGTCTGCCAGGCCTTTGACTGCATAACCCCTAATATTCACACCACCATTTTAATAAGGCTTTAATTGTTGTCCTTTTTCAGATTATTTTAAAAATTTTTAATTGATTTTTTAAAAATAAATGACAGTGGAATGCATTACAATTCTTATTAAACATATACAGCACAATTTTTCATATCTCTGATTGTAGATAAAGTATGTTGACACCAATTCATGTCTTCATACATRTACTTTGGATAATGGTGTCTATCACATTCCACCATCCTTGCTAACTCCGGGTCCCCTCCCTTCCCCTCCCACTCCTCTGCCCTATCTAGAATTCATCTATTCCTTCCATGCTCCCCCTCCCTACCCCACTATGAGTCAGACTCCTTATATCAGAGAAAACATGCAGCATTTGTTTTGGGGGTATTGACTAACTTCACTTAGCATTATCTTCTCCAACTCCATCCATTTACCTGCAAATACCATGATTTTATTCGCTTTTATTGCTGAGTAATTGTTGTCATTTTTCAGATTTTTAAAAGTAGTTGATTTGAATTTAGTTTTCTCTTCTTCATTCGCATGAATCTACAATGATATTTTCTATACAATTTTCATTCAAACCCCTCTTTTTTTTTTTTGTCCTGTGGAACTATTTGTATATTAACTGCTTATCAAATATTTGATTTGCAAATATTTTTCCCAACTTGTAGGCTGCTTTTTTATTTTGTTGATTGCAATGTTGTATAAATTACATACATATAATTTTATAAAAACAAAAATTTAAAAATCAAATAGTTTTTACTCATATATTTTTATATATAAGTGATAAAAAACTTTGCTTCCTAGATTTGTAGAACATTCTTGTTCTTGACTTAATTTTTTCCATGTAGAATTTGCATAAATAACTTTTTAAAATAGCAAATGTTAATGGATAATTATAAATGTAATGCATTCCACTATTGTCATGTATGTAAGAAATTTTAAAAAAGCAAATGTGATCTTCTTAAAATTTGTTCCAATTAGTCACACATGACCATTGAATGCATTTTGACACATCATATGTAAATGGAGTATAACTTCTCATTCTTCTAGTTGTACAGGAAATAGGAAGCATATTGGTCATGTAATCATATAGCATATAAGATAATAATGTCCAATTCGCTCTATTATCCTTCCTACCCCCATACCCCTCTCCTCTCCCTTCACTCCCCTCTGTCTAATCCAAAATACCTCTAATCTTCCCTAGCCATCTGCCCCCCACCCCATTACTGTGAATTAGTATTCACATATCAGAGAAAACATTGAGCCTTTGGTTTTTAGGGATTGACTTATTTCACTTACCATTGCCTCCAGTTCTATCCATTTACCGATAAATGCCATAATTTCATTCTTCTTTAAGGCTGAGTAATATTACATTGTGTATATGCATGACATTTTCTTTATCCACTCATTTATTGAAGAATACTTAGGTTGGTTTCACAGCTTAGCTATTGTGAATTGTGCTGCTATAAACATTGATGTGGCCATGTTACTATAGTATGCTGATTTTAAGTCCTTTGGTTATATGCTGAGGAATGGGATAACTGAATCAAATGGTGGTTCCGTTCCAAGTTTTCTGAGAGATATCCATACTGTTTTCCATATTGGCTGCACCAATTTGCAGTATCACCAGCAATGTATGAGTGTACTTTTATCCCCACATTCTCGACGACATTTATTGTTGCTTGTGTTCTTGATAATTGTCATTCAGACTGGAGTGAGGTGAAATCTCAATGTAGTTTTAATTTACACTTCATTAATTAATAGAGATGTTGAACATGTTTTCATATACTTGTTGACTGTATTTCTTCTTCTTAAAATGTCTGTTCAGTTCCTTAGCCCATTTATTGATTGGGATATTTGTTTGTTTTTGTTGTAAAGTTTTTTAATTTCTTTATATATTCTGGAGATTAATGCTCTAACAACTGAGGTGCAGGTGGCAAAAATTTTCTCAAATTCTGTAGGCTCTTTCTTCATGTTCTTGATTTTTTTCTTTGCTTTGAATAAGGTTTTTATATCATTTCCATCCCATTTATTAATTCTTGATTTACTTCTTGTAAATCTTCTAAGTCTTATTAAGAAAGTTAGTTTCTAAGATGATATAATGTAGATTTGGGCCTACTTTTTCTTCTGTTAGGTGCAAGGTCTCTTTTATAGTACCTAAGTTTTGATCCACTTTGAGTTGAGTGTGATGCAGAGTGAGAGATAGAAGTTTAATTTCATTTTGCTACATGTGAATTTCTAGTTTCCCCAGCACCATTTGTTGAAGAGGCTATCTTTTCTCCAGTGAATGTTTTTGGCACCTTTGTCTAGTATGAGATTACTGTATTTATGTGGATTTGTCTGGGTCTTCCTTTCTGTACCATTGGTTTATGTGTCTGTTTTGGTGCCAATACTATGCCACTTTTGTTACCATAACTCTGTAGTATAGTTTAAGGTCTGGTATTGTGATGCCACTTGCTTCACTCTTTTTGCTAAGGATTGCTTTGGCTATTCTGTGTCTCCTATTTTTTCAAATGAATTTCATGATTGCTTTTTCTAATTCTATGAAGAATGTCATTGCAATTTTAACAGGAATTGCTTTAAATCTGTTTAATGGTTTGGGGGGTATGGCCATTTGAACAATGTTAATTCTGCATGGGAGATCTTTCCATCTTCTAAGTTCTTCTTCAATTTCTTTCTTTAGTGTTCTGTAGGTTTTTTTCATTATAGAAGTCTTTCACCTCTTTTGTTAGATTGATTCCCAAGTTTTATTTTTTTAAGGTGCTTGCTAATGGGGCAGTTTTTCTAATTTCTCTTTCAGTGAATTCATCACTGATGTATAGGCCCATATTGATTTCTGGGTATTGATATTATATCCTGATATTTACTGAGTTCATTTATTAGTTCTAGAAATTTTACAGTTGTCATGTTTTGGAGCTTCTAAATATAGAATCATGACATCACAAGCAGTGATAGTTTGAGTTTTTCTTTTCCTATTCATATCCCTTTAATTTCTGTCATCTGTCTAATTGCTCTGGCTACAGTTTCAAGGACAATGTTGAGTAGAAATGGTGAAAGAGGGCATCCTTGTCTTGCTCCAGTTTTTAGAGGAAATGCTTCCAATTTTTCTCCATGTAGAATTATGTTGGCCTTGAGTTTATCATATGCAGTTTTTACAATGTTGAGATATGTCCTACTTTTAAAGGAATACCACCAGGGATTTTGGGCAAACCAAGCAGCAGAATATCAGCACACTTTGGTTATTATTTCCCATTTTTTTAAGACAGGAGATATTGACTAGAATAACTGGTTAGCTCTTTAATATATTGTTTTGTTTTTATAAATTTAAGTTTTATAACCATGGGGTCATCT